TGAGAGAGAGAGAGAGAGAGAGAGAGAGAGAGAGAGAGAGAGAGGCATGAGCCTTTCATGCTTTCCTTTTCTTAAGTCGTTTGGGATAGATCATCTATGCTGTAATGAACCTCCCCGAATTCAAACCCAAAACTCAGCATGCATAAGCAGAACATTCACATGACAGCTCAACACGAACACCAAAAGATGGAAACCAAATCAGCGCAGTAGGGAACTTCACTCAATTATCATATTATAATACAATGGGAGAGTTCGAGTGTCCATCAGCTTTGACCGCGCTCAACAACAACAGCCTAATTCAGGTATGTACCCGACTCTCTCTCCCTCTGCCCTACTGTGTGACTCTCTCTCTCTCCTCTCGATACTTGTATCGTTCAACCTCACTGCACTCCAACTTCTATCGCTCGCCTCACTGTCTCTCTCTTGCTCTAGCTCACCTACTTCGATCTACCGCTGAATACACCCGCTCACGTCAACCTCCGACCTTGCGTCTATGGCTGGCTTCCTTCCTCGTCCTAACCCTAGCTATGGAAGTCAAGGCGCTGTCTTCTTCCTCAACTTTCGTCCAGTTCACCCTATCGCAGAAGCAACCAGCAGTGCTTCCGCAACTCGCGAATGAACAACTGAAGAGCGCTGTCACTCCAGAAGCTATCAATAGGATGTTTGACTTGATGTCGGCCTGCTTTGGACCGGTACCGGTCACCCTCGGCCTGTCAGCTGCATGCCCGACGTTTCGGAAGTTTCCGGACTTTCTTGGGACACTGCTGCAAAATTGGACTTCGGGACTGGACTTTCCTTGTCAGGTACCAGTAGACTTTTACCGGTCTGTCTTGTCCGGTTCCGGATCCGACCTTACCACGACGCTCCGACCTTTGGATCCTACGAGACCCTGCTGGCCCTGGGATGTGACCTACTGGGACCTAGTGGGACTGGGCCCATCTGGGACTTGGGGATGTGCGTGCAGCATGAAATCCTTTCAATTCAGTCATCACTGAATCATTCTCTCTCTCTCTCTCTCTCTCTCTCTCTTATTGGATGTCATAAGGGTTGTCAATGCTTGAGAAATGTTTCTTCCTTGGCCATAAGCCAGTGGCCTCTCTCTTTTTTTTTTTTTTTCCGTTTATGCCCTTTTCCATCATGAGATCGAGCTCATGATCTGTTTAGTAACTTTAGTGACAGTTACACACATGTACTGCTCAGCCACACGGGCCAGGTATCTTTTTCTCCCTTTGTTTTTTTGACGTTCAAACTTCAAACCTATGATTTTTGCTGCCATGCTGGTTTGTCCCTCTGCTCGTTGGATTTTGACTTGGTCCTTCCTTTCCTGCTGGCTCTGGAACTTGGGACTTCTTCTTTCCTTTGCACTTCAGCGATGAAGATTGATGCCCAGAGGCAGCATGAACAACGCGGGTTGTGGGGGGAAATTCAGGCAAACTTGTTCGCAGGTGCAGGGACTCTAGTGAAATCAGAAAACGTACATGTGTGCGGCAATGCCGGACTGGCTATAAAAGCTCGCGTGGAGCAGATGCCCTCCTTGGACACAAAAGCCCTACCCAATCATTTCCCCAATGCGTCGTCAATGAATACAACGCATAGGCTCCTTTCTGTTCGAATACAACGTGCGTGCTCTATTCGAACAGCCCTGATATTCGAATACAATGCACCTGCATTCTATTCGAATCACCAATATTTTCTGGAAAACTCAAATACAACACGTGTTATGTTCGGGGGAAAGATGGTAGTCAATCCTTCCCTATCATTTCAAGATGCAGCCACCGCACTTGTCAAGGTCTGCTCTTCC